CAAAATTGCAAATTTGACAATAAAACCTCCCAAAAACCATCTCTTTTGGCGTGAAACACCACAGGAGAATGGAAGCCAATTTTGGGAGGGAAATTAGGGTGAAAATCATGCTAATATCATCCAATTAGTTCTTTCAAATCCTTAGCTTAAGCTTCCAATCAAGAACCCAAATAATCAAATCCTCTTTTCAAACCCTATGACACGACATACTTCTCCATTTTTATTTTATTTTTTTTGTGCGAAAATCTAAGATTGGGAACCACTAACGGACAAAAAATTATTCGATATTAGCATGATTTTCACCCTAATTTCCCTACCAAAATCGGCCTCCGTTCTCTTGTGGTGTTTCACGCCAAAAAGAAATGGTTTTGAGGGGTTTTATTGTCAAATTTGCAATTTAGGTCCTCAAGTTCAAGTTTCAACTATTTTGGTCCATTAAGTTCCAATTAAAATGAAAAATGTCCTTCGGTGGCCATTACTCAAACCGAATGATACTTCAGTGACCGTTAGTTCAAGTTTAAAACTCCAGTAACCGTTTTGTGATTTTGACATAACTTCAATGACCGTTTGTGAAATTAACCCCCAATTCATCTATAAGTCAGATTGAGATTTTTACCTAAGAAAATAATATATACACTAAAATAAGTAGAATTTTGTCCAAATTAATCACTTTTAAGTGACTTTAAGATCCTAGATAGACGTGTAAAATACACTTATTGTGAATCCAACGGAATTATGATCACAATTACTCTTATATTGTACAATAGTTATAGTTCATAGGGCTCAATATTAAGAATAAGTCATGTCATGCATACAGAAACATATATGCACATGCACAATTCTACTCATTTAGCTGTTGTTCATTTTTATTTTTTTTAATGTTTACTTTTCATATGTAGTACGATGATCCATGAAGGTTAGCCAGCTTTAGGATGACTCAACGGAAGCTATATGTTGAGTAATGATCGAAGTGAACGGGTTTACCAAAATATTAAAGTTAATATTTAGGGTTACATAAGACGGTGGGTTTTAAAAGAGTTATGTACTTAAATAAATGTACTTTCTACAATTCTTTTGTAAGAAAGATATACGATTTATAAATAAAGTTTACAAGTATCTAATTACCTTGAAATTAGGTAATCGATCATTAACTCAAACAGCTTCCACACTTCGTAGATACAAAATTAGTTCAAGCTGTGTTAATACTTTTGGCAATTCAAATCCTTTTAAATATATAATTCTTTTGCAAGGTGAAAGTTGTTAACATAGCCAAAAAAAAATTATGTGAGGGGTGTTTTATATAGTAAGAAAATGGTGTGACATATATTGGGTATTGACATTGTTAGAATTTGGGTATGACCCGAATTCCTTGTGAGAGGAATTAAAAAATTTTAATTGAAGTGCACGTCAAGAGAAATTCAGCTTGGAATGTTATTGGAGTCTTATTCAAGTTGAAATTATATTCGGAAGCCCCATTGAGAATTTGTTTTGGAAAAGGACTTTGAGACGAAGAAAACTATTTGGAGCGAAAAGAAAAAAAAAAAGAGGGGGCTAGAATGCCCAGCGCGCCGGCGCCCCTGCATGTTTTTTTACCTCGGGCGCCACAGCGCCGGCCCTGGTGCCGGGGCGCCCGAATGGTGGCGCCGTGGTGTTTTTAGTTCTTTTTTCTAGATTTTGTCTTATTCCTCATCTAGAACTCCAAAAAGCGATCCCTATATATAGTCACATTGTATCTTCACAAAATATATATTCAACAACATCTTGAGAGGTTTTGAGAATAAATGATAGTTTACCCTTGGTGGTTTTCAGATCAATTGTAAATTTCTCCACTATTGTTCATGAGTCAATAAAATTTCCAAATTCCTCTATCATATTTCTTGTCTTTTATTATTCTTTTGCTTACGATCATATCCTTATATTTTGCCATACAATTTCAATATTTCAATCCTGAATTACAACAAATGGATCGGAGAAATACATAATTATTAACAAGTAGTATCATAGCAATCCCATTGATTCTCAACAAGTGGCATCAGAGCCAGGTTTAGCAGTTCTGCATAGCACAATGTTTGATTTGTTCAAGATTTTTGTTCTTAATGGCTTTCATGAAGTATAATATTCTGCTTTTGAATCGGAGCACCAAATTCTCGCTGGGCTGGTTAAGATGCGAGCAGTACTCGCACAGATGCATTTGGATGATGCATTATTGAAAATTGACAAGATGCCCACAAGAAATTACGAAAAGATAAGAAGACAATTTCTCATATTCATCTTCATCTTCATCTTTCAAATAACATGTTTTATGGTTGAAATTGGAGCAATTGTGTATGACCAAAAGTCTAACAAGCAAATTGTATCTGAAGCAACGATTATAATCTCATTGCATGACAGAATGTGGATCTTTAGGAGATCACCTGACTGTATTTAAGGAGATAGTCGTTGATTTGGAAACTTTGGAAGTAAAGTATGATGAAGAAGATTTGATATTGATCCTATTTTGTTCATTGCCAACTTTGTTTTCTTCATTTAGAGACACGACCTTGTATAGTCATGATACTTTCATCATAGAGGAGGTGTATGATGCTTTCTTTCAAAAGAGAAGATGAAGCATCTAGTTTCTGATGCCAGAGATGGAGAAAGCCCGATTGTTTATGGTGGTTCGGGAAGAAGCAGATCGAAATCTAAGTTCAGTAATCAAATTTGTAACTAATGCAAAAAGATGGGGCACATTAAGAAGAATTGCTACAAATTGTAAAATAAAGCAAGAATAGCTACAAATTGGAATGGTAAGCAATCAGATAGATCAGGCGAAGCAGACTTCGCAGAGAAAATATAAATGAGGGAGATCTTTTGATTGTTTCTGACTTCAAGTCTAAACCAGATGAGTATTGGATTCTAGATTCAGCATGTGTGTTTCATATGTATCCTAATAAGGACTTATTTACTACATATGAAATAGTTTCCAAAGGTGTCGTAGTTATGGGAAACAACGCACCTAGTCGGATTGTTGTAATTGGTAAGGTCAGATTGAAGCTAATGGATGGGACTATTAGAACACTAGGCCAGGTTTGACATGTTCCAGATTTGAAGAAGAATCTCATCTCATTGTTTATCCATGATTCAAAGGGTTATGAATTATTTGATGGAGGTGGAGTATTGAAGGTTTGTAAGGGTGCCCAAGTTATATTGGAGGGATAGAAAATATCTCAATTATACATCTTGCATGATCATGTAAAATCTAGAAGAGTCAATCAGCACAAATTCAGTACCCTGGTAGACATTCAATTTGGTACAATACCTTTAGGCTTTTGTATGAGATCGAATTTGAAGAATACTGCTCAATTGAGTTCAGAAGATATGGATAATGTCACTTTACCACCATCACATGTGGTGCCATTGTATTTAAATTGCTAGGGACGGATCCAGTGGAGAAAGGTATTTAGATGCTGATTTTGTTGGGCATGCGTTAAGCATAATAGAAGGTGTACAATCTAGCAAGGGGTCTTCTGTAAAAACATTTGGGATTGATTCCGCTTCAAGGTGTGTTACAACACTGGTTGGTAAATTTCGAAAATCTTTATGATTTTTTGTGAATATGGGGTAATTCTACAAAGTAGTACTTGAATTCATTAGAAGAGGTGAAATATTTTGTATTTGTTGGAGAAATCAGTTTTAATTATTATTGAAGAGTTCAGTTCGTCCTTGCAGATAGATTTTCTTTTTCAGGTGGAGAAAATTTTAGAGTTTTGTTCATTACAATGAAATTCGTGTCAACGTAGAGATTGTTAGAATTTGGGTGTGACCCGAATTCCTTGTTGGAGTAATTAAAGAATTTTAATTGAAGTGTACGTTAAGAGGAATTCAGTTTGGAATGCTATTGGAGCATTATTCAAGTTGAAATTCTATTTGGAAGCCCTATTAAGAGTTTGGCTTGAAAAAGGATTTTGCGATGAAGAAAACAACTTAGAGCGAAAAGGAAAAGAAAAACAAAGAGAGGAGGGAAGGGCGGGCAAAACGCTCGGCACTACGGCGCCAGCGTCCTTGCCTATTTTTTTGCCCAGGGCACCATGGCGCTCAGATGGGTGCGCTTCGTGGTGTTTTTAGTTCCATTTTTTCCGGATTTTATGTCTTTTTCTTAATCTAAAACTCCAAAAAATTATTTCTATATATATTCCATATTGTATCTTCACAAAATATATTCAACAATATCTTGAAAGGTTTTGAGAATATATGATAGTTTAGCCTCGATGATTACTAGAACTTTGGATCAATTGTATATTTCTCCATTATTGTTCATGAGTCAATAAAATCTCCAAATTCCTCTACCATATTTCTTATATTTTATTATTTTTTTGTTTACGATCATATACTTCATATTTTTGCCATACAATTTCGATATTTCAATCCTGAATTACAACAAGTGAATCGGAGAAATACGTAATTCTTAACAAGTGGTATCATAGAAATCCCATCGGTCTTCAACAGAAAACATTTTAGTGTTAAAATTTTGAAATGGACATACAATATATTGTGTGAATGATGGTTTAAAAGTATGATCGCTACAACTCCGGTGACAGTTTGTGGGTTTGGACATAAAGGTCAAGGCTAACCAAGGTATTAGACGCACTTTGCGACCCTTGTAATATGTATTTCTTGATTTACTAAATCTATCTCAGTCGAGTTTTTGTTTCTTATAGGAGAACTGTTGAATCTTGTTTCGGGGTTGATCTCGTCAAAGAAAATCAATAGAGGGAAATAGCGTCCTCAATCAAGTGAAAGTGGCTGGTAGCCAGCATAACTTACTTCGGATATATCTTGTGTCGAAGAAAATCAATAAAACATAAGATAGATGCTTTAATTCATCGTATGAAAAATTAACGAAATTTGTATGCTATCAAACAACACACAAATTACAAGATGGAAGTTGCATCTTAATACTATACTAACTCCATTGAGTTCTAGGTATGACTGTAAATTTCTCCATAACATGTCAGATATTTTTAAAACCATTGACTATATTCTGAAATATTATGGGCATCAATAACTTCTGAAATTCCAAGACCCCAAATATCAGGTCCGAATAGTCCATAATCCCATAAATCTAGATTTGATTCTACTTCACTGCATGTGGATCCACAAATCAAATCCTTCAGCCTTCTTGACATTGTTGTAGCTTCAAGTCCCATTCTTGATTTCCCAACCTAAAAAATATATGCCAAGATTTAAATATTAAAGTTACACAGCCAATGGGAGAGAGAAGGATGAAATTAAGTTCTAAAAAGGGTTATAGAATTCATAATGACCTTGTCATGGAGAATTTGGAAGGTGGAATTTCCTTGCATAGAAAAATTTGCATTCAGAACTTCAATACCATCTTCATGAAGCAAGTGAAGTATGCTGTAAAATTTTGATAAATCATCTAGACCACTAACTAAAATGATACCCATATTTGATCCCATATCGTGAACTTCTACTAAAGGTCGTGAAGACTTTGTGTTGACTTTAACTTCACTTGTAATGCAAGAATGTGATCTTTTTCTTGGCATCAAGGATTCCTTCTTCTCCTTCATTTTTTCCACCTTCATTTTTAAGCTTTCGATGTATGCCACAGCCTCATCTATCTGATCGGGCAATGGCATTGCTTCCTGCATTTAAAAGTATTTTGAAACTTAAATAAGTGTTCGTAATTTACTCTATATAATTCAACAGTTGAGTATATAAAACATTAGACCTTTTTTTGCTTTAAATCTACTTATTTCATTACAGTCCCTTTGCAGGTTGAAAACAAATTTTTTGTGTAACCATTTAAGTTTTTGGATGAATTAGTTCTACATGGTTTTGGAGTATGCAAAAGTTTGAGATTTGACTCTTATCTCGTCTATTCATAAAAATTGTGCATGTATCAAACCTATTTGTATATGAAAAGCCTGTTGGATTAAAATTAAAATAAATAAATAAATTTATCTACTCATTATCGGTTTAGACTTTTAATGTGTGTAAGATAGAGAGAAAGAGAGGAACCTTGGAGCCATGATCTGGGAGGAGGCAGAGAAGGTTAGAGTAGTGAATCTTCATCTGATTTCTCCTGTTTTTCTCAACAACTTTTCTTTCAGTTTTTCGAGGTCGAGTTGCAGAAGGTGATGATTTGGTCTTACCTTTTTCCATTTTCCTCTTTACACAGGCTCCACCCAAGAATTTTTCAGACAACTAAAAATCTAATTACATTGTTGATCTCTGCTGGTATTCATTTATAGTACTGGAAAGCAGGGCGGGGTTAGAGAGAGGAGATAATCAGCAAACAATACGTCATACGTCTTCATCAGCCGGCGAGTTTGAAATTATTTCGCCGTTCCCATAGAGAGTTTTGACTTTTAAAGCATACACGTGGGTTTTCTCACTTTCAGTGCACTTGGGAAGGACGCTGCGTGGTTACATCCCATTAAGAGTGTGTTTGGTAGGAATTTTTGGGGAAAGAATTGATTTTTGAATAGTGATATGATGGGAAATGTGTGGTTGAAAAAGAAGAAAAAATTATTGATGTGGTGAAAAATATTATTTTATTGAAGAATGTGTGGTTGAAAATGAGAATTGATTTACTGTAGAAAATGAGAATCTATACCAAACAGACTCTAAGAATGACATGAACCAATCGAAAAATTTATTTAAAATTTTAGATTTTCATTTAAGAGTTTCTTTTTTATTTATGTAAGAATTTTGTTTATGTATACATTAAATTAAATAAAACTCAACACAATTTTTTAGTTTTAACTTCTAAAGAAAGTATTTCATATTTTGTCTGTTTTGATATCATATTACACTATTTCACTAAATAAATAAATAGAACACAATTGCATTGTGGATTTTCCCAAAAATAGGTGTCAAGGACGGTATAGCGATAAAATTAAAAAAAAAATTAGATTTTTAGTAAATTTTGATAAAATTGATGACTTTAATAAAGGTGCTATCTCTCGCCAAATTTGTGGCATGGCCTATGTGTGTATGCTCCAACTATCTCTATATTCTGTCCAACTTTCTTGCATACACAATCAGATAAAGATATGTACTGTCCTTAATTAAAATTATTGACAAGACTCAATAGAAATCACTTATTTTTCTTTAATGAGATATTAATTATATATACAATAATTTAGTAAGCTATTTACTATATATTAATCCATGTACTGAAAAGCAAATACATGTTTTGCGAATTCACAATCTCTCAAAGCGCTAAGGCATTTATAATATTAAATCTCATACCTAAAAGACTGTGTCACGAACCAAGCTTCGTTACCAATCGTAATTTAGTAAAATTTAATTAAATGTCTGTCTTTATTTGCCACCATAAACTATTATTTTAGGTTTATAGCTTATGAATTATATCTCTTCTGCGAAAAAAAAAAAAATGATTGAAAGAGAGAATTTAATTTAGACCCAACAAACCTATACTTTTTATGTGAATACTTGTGGACTAGCTTTGTCCTTTATCTTCTTATGTGAGGATAAGAAATACTTATAGTTGTGGGGTTTGAGAGCCCACCAAAACTTTGTAATTTAGCAATGATTTTTCAGTCATCCAAGTGTGAAAATGAATGTTCATATTTTGGAGACTCGGCCAAGACTTTCTTTTGTCCTATCACACATATAGAGTCTATATCTAACATTACTAGGACAAAAACGTGGTCCATTGAACTCTTGTCACATGAACATCTGCGGTCTTTCGTAGAAAGATAGGTGTTTTCTAACATAGACTACTGTTGAAACGAAAGACAAAATGCCGAAGTCACGTGTATTGAAAGTACTTTTTTTTTATATTGAACGGGTAATATTTAATCATAATATAAATTATTTTTAAAATTTTAAATCGAGTTTCAACTAAGGTTGACCTGCGTTAGGGTGGACGCGCTTTTTTTTTTTAAGTCATGTATATATTGGACGTATTTTTTTAGTCACATATATTTTTATGCGCTTTTTTATATTGAACGGGGTAGAATTTAATCATAATATAAATTATTTTTAAATTTTAAATCGAGCTTCAACTAAGGTTGGCCAGCGTTAGGGTGGACGCACTTTTTTTTTTAGTCGTGTATATATTGGACATGCTTTTTTAGTCACGTATATATTTGATGTGCTTTTTTATATTGAACCGGGTAGAATTTAATCATAATATAAATTAATTTTCAAATTTCAAATCGAGTTACAACTAAGGTTGGCCGGTGTTAGGGTGGACACGCTTTTTTTAGTCACGTATATATTTGATGCTCTTTTTTTATATTGAATGGGGTAGAACTTAATCATAATTTTTTAATTTTAAAACTTCTCTCTCTCTTTCAGTGGGAACGAGATCAATTGATGAAGGGAGAGAACTTTTAAAAGGAGGAAGAAAAGAAGTACGAGCCTACCAATGAGATTTGCTAACCAAGCTTGTGAAAGGGAGGAAAAAACACCAGCCGGTCAGGAATGATGTGGCGGCCTTATTTCGTTTATCATTTTAGGCCAAATCCAAACACTACTGTGGATTGGACAGAAGTCAATAGCATAGCTATTTCTTTCCCGAGTCTCCTTCCGAAGAACAGGCCTTCGCATTCCTAATTCGGAGAAAGTTGGGAACCGTTGGTTACCTTTTAAATCAAAGTAGCAACGAGCCGAGTATTACGACTAAAGGGGAAGAAGTTTCGCTTCGTAGACAACTTCGCTTCCTCGTCCCTTCTTTCTAGCGAGTTTCAACTAAGGTTGGTCGTCGTTAGGATGGACGCGCTTTTTTAGGTCATGTATATATTGGACGTGCTTCTTTAGTCACGTATATATTTGATGCGCTTTTTTATGTTGAACGGGGTAAAATTTAATCATAATATAAATTATTTTTAAAATTTTAAATCGAGTTTCATCTAAGGTAGGCCAGCGTCAGGGACATGGGACTAAGACCCGCTACTTGGGAGTTTCGAGGTGGCAGCTCCCTTCGGCGAATATCCCGAGTATAATTGCCGTTGAGTGCTATATTTGGCATTCTATATTTAGTTGTTTCGAGGTGGCAGCTCCCTTAGGTGAATATCCCAAGTATATTTGCCGTTGAGTGCTATATTTGGCATTCTATATTTAGTTTACACAGGTCTTCCTATAAGTCGTTCGAAGTTAATGAATTTCAAAGAGCTATTTTCGCGTGAGACACGGAGTCAAAGAAGAGTGAGATCATCATTCAAGTCGTCATCTTCTTTGTGAAAAATTACGGTGACATATAGTCATAGATGTCTTGCTATGATAAATGACTATATGTCACTTTTTGGTCATGTTATTTTTAAAATACATTTTTTCAATAAAATAATATTTTTCATCACATCAATACTTTTTTCTTCTTTTTCAACCACACATTTCCCATCATATCACTGTTCAAAAATCAATTCTTCCCCCAAAAATCCCTACCAAATACACTCTATATGTCACTTTTTGGTCCAGTTATTTTCAAAATACATTTCTTTCTTTCTTATTTTTAACCACACATTTTCAATAAAATATAACACACAAATCCAAAACTTTGCATTATTTTTTAACCACACATTTTTTATCAAAATACTATTTCAAAATATTTTTTGAGAAAAAATGGGGCTCAAACAAGCTCTATATGTGTTTGCTTGGGTGTGTTTTTTATATCGTTTAATATTGTTCTTGTAATTGAGCCATTGTTTGTCTTTTATTCTTTCAAAATTATTTTTTTTACATACTTATTTTTTAACAATATTCACACAATAAAATATTTTATACTAAACATAAAAAACTTTCATACTTTTTAACCATGTATTCCTCAAAAAATTATTATTTAAAATAATATTTTTTCAGATAGACTGGTTCAAAAAATACCACCCTATAAGGGTTTTGATTGTTCAGATAGACTGGTTCAAAAGTTTTGCAGATCTTGGAAGGAAGGTTTGACTTTTGAGTAATCAGGAAGGCAAATTAGCGTTACATTTTGCACTTCCCGGAAGCACTCAATTGGACGGTGCGAACGAGTAAATACAACTTTAAACAGGTTAAGATTGCATTTTTGGCAGATTTGGAAGTCAACAAAAATATCAAGACTTTATTTTATTTGTTTAAACATTTTTGAATAAACTGAAAATTGCATTCACCGAAGACTTTATCGTCATGACAAAGACTACTAGAAATATTCAATGAATTATGTTTTTTTTACGTTAAAGTAAGGTATAAATCTTATCAACAAGTTTGAATATACACGGTTTTTTTTTTTTTTGGACTCCCGTGAATCTTGCATGTACGTTTTTTTATTAACCTGACACAAGTTTAGGTCCGGTTTGGTACACATTATTTTTTTTCATTCTCATTCTTCTATTTATTTTCAACCACACATTTTTCAATAAAATAATATTTTCTATCACATCAATAACTTTTCCTTCATTTTTAACAATATATTCTCCATCAATCTACTATTCAATAATATATTCTTTCAAAAGAATGTGTCTCAAACACACTCTTAATAGAAGAAATAGTCTCCTTTACGTTTTCTTTCTAGTCATAAGAAATGTTAAGATTTATATTGTATTGACAATTCTTTAGACAAAATGATTATTAGAAAAAATATAGGATTGTTATAAAAGAATTGTAAAAGTAAATGACTCTTTTGGAGGGGGGTTGTATAGATAAATTAGGAATCTTTGGGTTCGAGTATGTAACAAGGAGAAAGAGTCGTCGGATTCACGCTAGCCTATCGCCCAACCGATGCTCAAGCGAAAAAAGTAGAATCCTTGTCGTCCGCCTGTCACGCCGTCTATCGCTCGAGCAACACACCTTTCACTCGCATATCGCTAGTCTGGCGCTCGAGCGATAGTGTTATACGTGAAACCCTAATTCGCGATTTTTAAGAGTTCTATCTTTCCTATACTATCTAAATACTTTTTATTATAAATACCTAGTACATTTTTGTGTGTGGCTGATCATTATTTTACATTCTCATAGCAGCATTCCAAGATCCAAGAGCATATCTAAACATTGAGATTAAATTTTTGATTCTTGAGATCAATCAAGCACAAGTTGGAAAAAACATCAAAGTCAAACAATTCAAAACACTCACTTCCTAGATATCATCGGGAAGGTACTTTCTCAATAACCTTCAGTGATTGCTAAAATTTGAGGGAAGTTGGACCATAAATACAGGA